TCAAACATCGAAAGATAAAAGGAAGAAAAAGTATATCATATAAACATTGTTACGTACTGTTCAAAGATGTCGCATACAAAAAACGTTAAGTTGACTTATCATGTGAATAATTGTTGCAAACAAAACATGCTTAATTTTGAAAGATTGACCTATCATTTTACTTCGGTTTAGTCAATAAACAGAATATGCTTTTTCACTTTATATCTAAAATTACAAATGATCGGGTCTTATAAAATCAGAACTTTGGATAACTTCGAAATTCAAATGCTAATTTAAAAAAAAAAGTAGCTATCAGTTGTGACTAGACATGTGCGGGACCATAAAAAAAATATACCAGGACTGGAACCGGGACCAAAAAGACTTTACCGGGACCGGAACTGGGACCGGGACCAAAAAAACCTTTACTGTGATCAGAACTTGAATTTGAGGCTATATGATATCCTTAATTCTGCCAGTTTTCAAGTGTAGTTTTTCGTATATCATAATTCAATTTATTATTGTCACATTAATATCTTGTAATATAAAAAGGAAAACATATCCTCATTATCGATATTCTTGACCAGTCCCGGCCCTGATTTCGGTCCCGACCTCCAAGATCGTTACTAGGCCCAAGATCTCGAGAAAACTAACGGGATGGAACTGAAGTCTGTAGTAAAATATTGTATGGTTTTAATTAAATTATCTTGTAAATCATATGAATTAGAACATAAGTCAAGAAAAATGAGCCGAAAAAGTACTAGTCGTCGACTAAATAGATCAGAAAAACAAGTATTAAAGAATTATAATAGATGTGATACGAATAAATTCTGAATTAGTTTAGTTTTCTCTAGACCGATATCAAGACCCGAGAAACTAGGAGTGCAACAAATCTTGAATAGATTCGGATTTGGAACCAAGATCCTTGGCATCTGATTTGAATTTGGTCTCAAATGACCCAAACCCAAAGGATTTGATAAGATACAGTGTCAGCAGCAACGATCTACTTTACTAGGAGCGCGGTACAACCAGAAAAAGATTTTGGCATGTAGGCCAAATTCAAATCCAAAACTCTTTTTGTGGTTGTGCTGCACTCCTAGTAAAGTAAATTGTTGTTGGTGACACTGTATCTTACCAAATCCTTTGGGATTTGGATCATTTGAGGCCAAATCCAAACCTAACCCTCAATCTCAAAACAAATCCAAATCTAATCTCAAATCCAAAGAAAATGATACCAAATTTCAAGGCTTTGAGTTTGTTGCATCCCTACGAAAAATTAAAATCACTGGGACCGGGATCAAAAAAGAAACTTCACCGGGACCGAGCTCGGGACCAAAGAATGTTTACTGGGACCGGGACCGGGACTGAAAAAAAAGCTTTACCGGGACCGAAAAAACTTGGTCCTACACATGTCTAGTCGTGACTCCCAAAACTAAGAAATCTGTAAGAGACGTATGAACTTCTAGACGTCTGGAAATACACGAAATCCAACGAGGATGTGGATGAAAGTAAAAAGAAAAGAGCATCCACATTAACACCTATGTTTGTTTTTTGATCGCTCATACAACTTTTGCGAAACTCACATAGTTTTTGAAGAAAACAGTAGATGGAAATTTAAAATCACAGGGTTGATTCTCCCATGACAAACTTAGCAATTGCAAACAACAAGCTTTAGATCCATTGCTCTCAGTTCATTGCCAATAAAAATACAGGATAGCATGAACGACACGACTTAGACTGTTCTAGAACATTCCAAAGCCTTCTTTGAAATTAAAATGACAAGCATAATTTTGTCCAAATTCTCAATAGTAGGAAATCTTCACTTTTTCGCAAATAAAAACTTGAATTCAATAGATCGCGTGAAGTAAGCCAAACTTTTGTAAACCAAAGTGCGCTACTATCAACGTGATTTGAAATTCGACTCGTTGACAGTAGCGAACTTTGATTCACTTATTTCGACCAATTCAATAAGAGAAGGTGACGAGCAGATATACCATGATTTGCTACATTTGCAACAAAATTATCAGTAGAAAAACAAATCGATCAAGTTGTCATTATAAAAGAAATCAATACTAATATTTCGAAATCGATCCCGACATATAATGATCCCTGAGAATTTGCTGTGAATCTATTCGTATCTTATATGGCAAGATTAGTTACCAGAAAGTAGAATTAAATACAAAAAAAAACAGTGGCGGATTTAGGGGATGCGTCGAAGCGATGGCACCCCCTCGGGAAAACTTTTTCGACTTTTCCCAGCAAAAACAAACGAAAACACAAGTTTGTATTACCTAAAATACATCTGGAATTACACTTTTTGCCTACAATCTCACCTCTCCTCCAAAAATCCTAGATCCGCCTCTGAAAAAAACCGAAGTAAGAAACTTATAACTAGCAAACGAATAACCACAAGTTAAACAAAACCAGGGAACAATAAAGAAATTCGCTTTGAAATGCGGAAGTACAAATATAGCATATTTTTTCTATCGATGAATTGCCTCGAAAAATAATTACAATGTGCGAGATTTTTTTCCATATACTCGTTGTATTTTAGTATAATTACACTGAAAAATTGATGCGAGTGTTACATTGTAACGTTATAGGGTAACATGTCTTTTCCCTGTAAAGATACAAGATTATGTTTGCTTAACACCACTTCTATTTTTTCTTTATAATTCGGTAGAAATAAATTATAAAGAAAAAATATTATAAAATAATTAACAACATCGACAATATTGAGAGGTATACTTTTGAAACTCTATGGTTCATATTTCTAAGTTATCGATTTGAATATAATCATGAATTCAAACCTAATAGGCTAATACTTTTATTGAGAATATAAGTTTAAGCATGAGTGCTCCGAATAGTAAAACCGAAAAATTCTGTGATGAATTTATATTAGTGATTGTTTATTTATTCTGTTCAAAAACTTTTCGCGATTATATTGGATTGTTCTATCTAAACTACCTATTGCCAAAGGTTTCTAACGCGCTTAATGAGTTATTCATTTTTTTATCTGTCTTATCCTTAGCTATAATGTGCGCGTATTCATTTCTTCACCATTTTACCTGAACGTCATATTTTTCTTTGAATACTTGATCTTGTCGCATTTGTAATATCTGTAAAGCGCCATCGAGATAATTCAAATCTACTGCCAAATCCAATAATTTGTCTTCATCTTTTCGATGTCGTTTTTTTTGCTCTAATATTTCGCTTTCGCTTTTGCTTTTCTTTACTCTTTCGGATATTATTTTCTGCCTTTTAGCTATAATATAAAAACCGATCACTAAGAAATTTCATTTCGTAATATAAATACTTGTAAATATTGCCTTGAAAATCGTCTCAGCTAGATTTTTATCACGATCCATAGAAAAGATATACAGTAGATGACGATTTTCTGCTTTCAGCATTTTTTTAATTCGTTGAGTCATGAAACAAATCTCTGAATCAGGAAGATTTGGATAAAATCGATCAAGAGCTTGCACAATATCTTCCTCTCTTGGTTCCTTGTTAAACAAATGTCTAATATAAAAGTAAATACAAGACTATATCGAGTTACCGATATTGATTTTTTACGAAGATTTGAAGTCTGTTCGATTAGCATAGCGAGTGCATCAGCGAAACGACCACTACCCTATATTTCAATCACGACCATACCAGAAATTTAACACAAAAAGTATGTAATACAAACTTGAATCAGAACAATGGGTCGTTTTTCGTTAATATCATTTTCAAGAATGTCAAGGGTAGCTATGCCTCCTTCTACGATGATTGTTACTGCATAACCTTGATAAAGACATTCAATGAATTTTAACAATATTAGAAAATTTTTCAAAATAAAGCACATACATGTTTGACCATCACTGGTCTCTTTACAAACTTCCGTGACAAATCGATGACGCGGATAATCACTGATGTATTCATTCAACCTACCACTATCGAACAAAATACAGTGTGTATGATTCCGTTCGATGGTGTCTTTATCGTCCTCGACATATTCTGGAATTTGTCGTTTGCATAATGGCAGTGGATTTCCCTGCGAAATAGAAACATTTCCTGTATTTTTAATTTCTGGTAAATATTCTCATTATCTTACACTTGATGCCTTTATGAGTTCAAGTCGTGTATTTTCATTTATCGTACCCCACATAGTCATTCCAATACATTTCACTTTAGTTTGATATCCTTGTGAGATATAATGATGCGAAATGGCTTCGCCGATCAATTTAGATACACCATTATTGATTCCGGTAGTGAGAATCCATGCATCTAAACAGTTCTATTGAGAAAGTGATATTGAAAATGTGATTATTTACTGGCCGCAGTACCAGCATCGATGACGCCTCTTATAAATTCATTTTTAAGTCGTTCTGGCATTGTAAAATATTTAGCTGCACCATAAATACTTAAGATGAAAGTTGGTTTCTGTCTTTCACTATCATCAAGTATTAATCCGAATAAATCTTTAATTGGTAATCGAGCGTCGATTCGAAGAAATTTACAACCACTTGGTTGTAATGTTCCAAAAACATTGACAGGTACTGCAGTAGAATGACGCATATCGAAAAATACATGAGGAGGGCGAAATTCAGTATTTCCCTTCTTTGCCTCTTTAGTTTCTACAGAATCACCAATGAAACTATGGCGACGAATCATACGACCACAAGGACATATTTTATCTCCAATAGTATCAGGATTACTTGGTTGAGTACTGTGCATACAACATGTACGTGATTTAAACTTAGAGTCTTTACTACTATGTTTAATGATAAGATCTTCCCATGATTGTATGTTTTCAACCATTGTTATCTAAAACTTTCAACGATATCTCTTTCATTGATTATTTATATTCAAGTTTAACAGATGAAAAAAAAGATCTTCTAAACTTTAGAATGTTATTTTTCAATTTACACTGTATGATATTATATTTAAAGCTAATTTCGCTCGACTGTCTTGTGAATAATACTCGCATTCTCTTAAATAGGATATGATATAAAGAATTTAAAATTCAAAAAAGAAAACATTTCGCAAAACCGTGAAACAGTGTATACTATTACAACTCTTACTGTATATGATGATGTGATCTATTGTCAATTCTAAATATTCAAACAATCATTTTTCAATGAAAATTACATAGAATAAAGAAAGATATATTTGGGTGAATCCGTGGGGTTTCTACCACTTTTCTGGAAAATTTTTTTTTTCTCGATTTTCATAGTCTACTTAGACGGGTCATGGTCGAAAACGGTCTGAGGTAATAATTAAAATCTTTTTGGATACACAAAGTGTGAAGACTCACATCATTTTCTAGGAACACTTCACGCATATAAAAGGTATCCCATAGTAACTGATGATAAATTGTTTGATTATATTTTTCATACTTTTTATTGACATAGAGAGCTAAAATTCCTATCACATATATATCTAATCAAGATGTTTTATGTCTGAAAGTTTCAGCTCTCTACCTAAAACTAGTGGTCAAATACATCGTCAAGACTGAAATACAAATTTTCGTACTCGATTTTTGCATATTTTTACTGTGAAACTATTGCAAAAATCGAGTACGACAATTGGGTGTGGGTGGGTGTGAGTGGGTGTGGCTGTGTGGGTGTGGCTGTGGCTGTGGCTGTGGCTGTGAGTGGGTGGGTGGGTGTGTGTGTGGGTGTGGGTGGGGTGTGGGTGTGGGTGTGGGT